TGAAATATTCAAATCGTTGCATTAGTTATTTTAAAATAAAAATATCCATATAATAGCAGATTATAAAAAAAAAAATCACTATTGGATTATTTAATGAAATCAGATAAAGAGAATTTAGTAAATTAGAGAACTTATTTTGATGAATTAATGATTTTTTAGAGTATTTATGAATTGATTTTGATGGATTAAAAGAAATAAACGCTGAGATATTCAATTTCTATACATTATTCATAAAAATATCCATATAATGAAAGTATATGAATATTGAAAAGTTTAAAAATACAAATTTCATAGTTGCAACAAAGCGCTATTCTTTACAGCAAAAAAAACTTTAACAGTTCGTATTATTAAGTGATGTAGTATATTCAGATTACAAATTAGCTTTTTTTTCTTTTTTCGAAAATGTAAACGAATAAAAAAAAAATTTCAAAACTTTCTTTGCATCTCATTAAATAGTAATTATGGCCCACTTGAAGAGGTGCTCACGTTTACCAACATGCTAAATTACATGTTTTTAATCCATTAAGTTGCATTAAAAATGAAAAACTCCTGACCTCCACTTTACCCACGACCCCTCCTACTACGTGCCGAAAATATTCGTTCACGGATTTCAGACGAGAAAAAAAGTATTTACATACGGGGCCCATTTTACAAGGAAGGACATTTAAGGAGAATTAAATCCTGTATTTTGGGGACCAACATTTTTTTTCTTTCGTTTATAATGTACCTAAACGTGAGTTTCACGTTATAGCAAGGGTAAATTAAAGATCGAGGAACAACTAGAATAATTTTCTTTCTTCTTTTCTTTTTTTCTTTATTTTCCTTCCCCCTTTATTACTCTCCCACTTTGCGTTCATTTATTACCCCCCACACACCCCTCCGAACACCCAGAGAAAAAAATTCTCAGAATTCCCCTCTTCAAAACGATGATGGCAGAGTTGCGTGATGGCATCGCCAAAGCTTGATTGGACAGTTGAGGCAGTTATTACAGCCAATGAATGCTTTCTTTCTTCTTTAATGGGCGGAGATTCATTATAAAAATCCACCTACTGTGAAACATAGTTACTAGAGCGATGTTTAATTCAATAGATATTATTACATAAAAATACCATAATATTAAATACGATTTTAAACTTTAATGAGTAATTGTAGTTTATGTAAATAATTACCAAACATTAAGTAACTAATATAGTATTTAAATTACATATCGAAAACATGTTTTATTTACTAATTTCATGTTATTAATATAAAAAATTATAATTAATTTTCTTATTGAAATATGAATTTTCGTGATACAAAATATTTTAGAGTCTATTGAATTTGAAAACAAAGTGTGCGCTTAATATGTAGTTTCATAACTTCTTTCCTGTTATTGGGAATATTTTAAATAATACAAATTCTGTTACGTTATTATTAAAATGCATAATAATCAATTTCATTTTTAACTGTTTATAATTTTTTGCAAAATTTTATGTATTATTTCTGTTAAGGGAGTAGCTTTGAGAAAGGCCAAGCTAAATGATATTTTAGGAACAGTTGAAATTCGGATTTTCAGACATTAACCCTTTCCACTTTTTTTTTAAAAAAAAAAATTTTTTTTTTGTCTTTTGTTTTATTGAATTGATTGTTTTGTTTCAATTTCCCTCTTCCTGTCTTTTTTTTATATTCTTTTTTATTTTTAGTTTTTATTTTTTGAATAATCTTTTGTTATTTTTACTCCTTTTCAATTTTTACTCCTTACTGAATTTTCTATTTCATTCCTTTCATAAATAAATGACCTTAATTTTGTTTTAAATTTTATTTCTTCTATTTTTAATTTTTACGATTTTCTAGTTCTGCTATAAATTTAATCTTTCATTAGAAAAAAAGAAAAAGTACCAAAACACAAAACTAAAAAGGAAAGATTTATTACCTGATTAATTACTATTCAATCGTGAAATGACAAAGTCTGGACTTTCATACTGAAGTTTCTAGCTTATTTTACATAATTTGCAAATAACCCTAAACATTACTTTAATTAACAACAAAAAATAAAGAAAGTTAAAATCACAAGTTGAGTTATTAGTTCGTAACAAAAAATTAAAACTAATTTTTTCAAAGAAAGTTAAGTTGTTCGTCAATAGCAGAAAAAATAAGAACACTTCAAAAAAATTTTAAGTTGTTAGTTAAAACAAATATATCTCTCTCACAAAAAGAACATTTAGGACAATTTCCCAAAGTTCTATTGAAAAGCCAACACAAGTCGGAAAGGTTTAAGTTTAAAGCAAATTTGTAAAATTCTGAAAATATTGTACAAAAAGAGATATTGAGTATATGAAGGATATTGGTATTATGGAATGTGAACAAGTGAGCAATTTTAAAGCTATTCAGTGTTCAATGTGATAAAATCGATTGCTTAGAAGAATTCAGAAGATAATGAAAATTCTGGTTCTATAAGTAAAAAATACAAGTAAAAAAGTACAAGTGTCTACAAGTAAAAAATATGCAAAGTTGCAATTCTGTGTTTAATTCTGTTAAAAGAGGCAATCTGTGGTTAAGGTATGGTACAGAAAGAGATACTGTCTATATAAGAGGCATTGGTGTCATGGTTTTTATAGGGGAAAATTTCAAACATCTTCAATTTTATAAAATTGATTTGCTTCAAAACGTCCAGAGAAAATACACGGAAGAAATTCAGGGTATATAAATTAAATTGGTACATTAGCGTCTACAAAAAACTTAGTTTGGAAGGTTTTTTTATTCCTCTTATTTAAATTTATTACTCAACTCTTCATGCTCCCCAAAGTATTACATTAGGCATTGTGAATGTATTCAAACTTATAAAAATAAATTTGTTTAAAAAAGTTCAGAGGTCACTGAACAAGAGAAATTCTGCATATATCAGAGACATTGGAGGAGACAAGGGTGTCTTCAATTAAATTATTCAAATGCTCAATTTCATAAAATCAATTTATTTAGAAATGTTCATAGGATACTATACAAAAGAAATTGGTCTCGGTATATCAGAGACGTTGGTGCCAGGTGGTCTATAATTAAATTACTCAAATGTTCAATTTAATAAAATCAATTTATTTAGAAATGTTCATAGGATACTATACAAAAGAAATTGGTCTCGGTATATCAGAGACGTTGGTGCCAGGTGGTCTACAATTAAATTACTCAAATGTTCAATTTCATAAAATCAATTTATTTAGAAATGTTCATAGGATACTATACAAAAAAAATTGGTCTGGGTATATCAGAGATATTGGCGTCAAGTTGTCTACAATTAAAAGATTCAAATGTTCAATTTCACAAAATTAATTAGTTTAGAAACTTTCATACGATATTGTACAAAAGAAATTGGTCTGGGTATATCAGAGACATTGGTGCCATGTGGTCTACAATTAAATGATTTAAGTGTTCAATCGCATTAAATAAATATCTTTAGAAACGTTCATAGGATAATGTACAAAAGAAATTGATCTATGTATATGAGACATTGATGCCAGTTGGTCTACAATTAAATTATTCAAATATTCTATTTCATAATATCATACTGTTTAAAAACGTCCATAAGATACTGTACAAAAGAGATTGGTCTAGGTATATCAGAGACATTGGTGCCAGGTGGTCTACAATTAAATAATTCATATGTTCAATTTCATAAAATAAATTTGTTTGGAAAAGTTCAGAAGATACTGTGCAAAAGAAATTCTGAATAAATCAGAGACATTGGTGCCAGTGTGTTTACTATTAAATTATTCTAATCTTCAATCTCATAAGATAAATTTGTTTAGAAACGTTCATAAGACTCTGTGTCAAGGAAATTCTAGGTATATCAGAGACACATTGGTGCCACTGTGCGTACAATGAACCATTTAAATGCTAAATCTTATAAAATCAATTTGATTGCAAAAGTTCAAAGGACACTATACAAAAAGAGATACAGTGTATTTAAGAGATATCATGATGTCTACAAATAACCAATCTAAAAACTGTTCATTTTTTTAAAATCATTCTGCTTAGAAAACTTCATAAGATAATGTACAAAATGCGATAGTGAGTTTATTGGGTACTGGGTATTGGGAAATATTAGTATTATATCGTTTAGAAAAAGAACAGTTACAAAACTATTCTATCTAATAGAATCATTCTTTTTTTTTTTTAAATGTTCAGAGGATATACAGTTCAAAAGAAGACACTGGGTATTTAAAAGATATTGTAACCATGATATTCAACAGGAAGGAAGTGGTAAAGGCATCCAACAGATAACTAATTTGCTTAAAAAAGTTTAATGTATAGCACCTTTAAAGAAATAATGGGTTATACAGGGAAAAGTGGTATCGTCTACAAGTAAACGAATTTAAAGCTAATCCAATCTTATAAAATCAATTTGTTTGAGCTCAGAGAGTACAAAAAAAGTGGATCAGTTTTAAAAGTTAACTATAGTATATTTAAATATAATATTAATTATATTCACTGAAACCATACTCGAGAATAAAGATTTAAGTTTGAACCATATTATGTTCCATATTTTTGTTCGCTTATAGACTTTTAAATGATAATTTAATCAAATTACGAACGCAACATATCATGCCTCACTGTTGGTCAAAAATTTAAGTAATTTTATGTTGAAATTTGACTTCAATACACATTTCACCCCGATTATTTCCTCAAATTTAGATCACATCACGTTTGAATGTGTCACAATACTAAATTTGTGCAAAATGTAACACAATTTGTACAAAATATAACAAAATTTGCACGAAATATAACAAAATTTGTACAAAATGTAACAAAATTTGTTCAAGTTGTTGTTGTTGTTGTAGTTCATTTACGTCGCAAAATTTGTTCAAAATATAGCAAATTTATACTTCACCATTAGAAAAATTTCAATCGTCAATCTATAAATAAACATTACCAACAGTTATGAAAATGACTTTTTTTTTTTTTACTGATTGCGTATATTATTTTGTGGTTTTTCATTGTATTTAAGCATCATATTTTTCACTTTTCAGAAATGTTTTTGAAATTTTCTTTGGACTAGGAGCTGGAACGATTTCTTTAAATGAGGAATAGTTTAATGGTGAAGATTTCATCTAGAACGAACAGATTTTTTTACTTGCCGCAAAAAATGTTGCTTACTTTTATTTCATCCATATAGTTGATAAACATTAAACACATATCATAAGCACTATATAAACATTATTATTATCTATATTTTAATATTCTAATGTGAAAACTTTTTTTCTGTCCTTTTTCTGAAGTTAAATATTGGTAGTTAGTCAAAACTCTAAAATTGGGTCGGCTGTACAACGACGGTTATAAAATAAAATATATTTTGCAATTTTTACGTGTAGAGTAAAATTGTTTGTGTTAGAATACTGGTCGCAATCTGCGAGAATCGTTATAACTAATTAAATAAATAGTTCCTTTCGGAAAATTTTATTGTTTTGCGTTATAATGACATCAAACAAATGTTATTATTGTTATAAATTTTTAAAATATTGTATTTTTAATTTTCAATAAATTTGGAATAAAAATATTAATTGCAATTTTAATGTTATTATATCATTCGTAAAATTTCTTGTATGTATTTTACTGTATTATAAAACTGTATAAGATATATATTGTTACTTTCACATGTAATTAATAAATAAATATCCACCATTCGGATTCTGAAACTGTTTTTTGTCTCTACTTTTTGTTGTAGTCTATTCTTAGATTAGAATTACTTAAATCCTTGTATGACAACGTTATTCTTGAAACTGCTAGTTTATTACTTATACAACACAAGTATACCCCAAGTGGGTACTCGTCAGTCTTAATTTTTACGTATAGAATGAATAAGAGGTTAAGAATTTGGGTTTAGTTTTTTTTTCTCGTCTGTTTTTCTTATGTTCTAGAAAAATATACATTTTTCAAAATATAAAAATTTAAAAGAATTTATAGTAAGAATTACCTTTTGTTCACCAAACGAGCTGTAAACGTACATTTGATAAAATAACTTTGATTTTTGATATAAATAGATGATATATTAATTTAAATCAATTGATCGATTGAAATTCTCAATCCGATGAATTGACACTCCTAATGTTTTATAAATTAAACTGCAAATATGTTAAGGAAATAATCAATTGAAAAAAATATTTCATAATATTTCATGTTCAAATGATCAAATCCAACTAACGCAAATTTTGAAAAGATATAAAAGAACTAATCTCAAGAAAATAATCAGAAAATTTTGATAAAGTGTAAAAAAACTTATCGCAAGAAAACTATCAGCTAATTTTGATAGGACGCAAAAGAAAGCTTTTCACAAAAAATAATCAGCAAATTTCGGTAAGATGTAAAAGAACTTATCATAAGAAAGTAATCAGCAAATTTCTATAAGATGTAAAAACATTATCACAAGAATTTAATCAGCAAATTTTGATATGATGTAAAAGAACTTATCACAGAAAAATAATTAACAAATTTTGATAAGATGTAAAAGAACTTATCACACGAAAATGATCAGCAAATTTTGATAACGTGTAAAAGAACTTATCACAAGAAAATAATCAGAGCTTAAATCACGCATTTTAATAAAGTTTACAATGTCTAGATATTTAGGAAAAGTTTAGAATAATGGCATATTTAAAAGGAAAAAACATTAATTACAATTCCGGCACAACAAAGTTATTAAAAAAACTGTTAACCAAAATAAAAATATGCCTGTAACTTTCAGGAAAAGTGATAAAACTAAGAGTTTCTCTGAAATCCAATACTCTCTTTGCAGTTTTATCAAAAAATAATAAATAAATAAAAATGATTAGTTTAAGAATTATTTAACACAGTAAAAAAAGGTCTATATTTGACTAACTTAACAACTTTAACTATTTAACGAATAAGTTAATAATAATAAAACGTGGTTAAGATTTGTCTGAAAGAAATTTGCTCCTTTCTTCCCTGGAAGAGAAATAAAAATAATATTTTGAATTTTAAATGGGTGTTAATGTATATTAGATCACTTTATTATGATCACATCTCTGAAATTATGAAATACTAAAAGTATCACTGATATTAATTTATCCTCAATATTTCTAGTTAGACCTAATAAACAAAGAACATTGTTCTGAAAAGTTATTCAAAAAGCATTATGACTAGTTAGTTTTAAAACTAGTAGCTTTTTTTCATAGTTTTCAGAATAACATATTCTGTGAAACTTGTTAAAAATTAAGTTTTGTAGGATACCCAGGAAAAGAACTGAAATTTCTCTTGCTTCAGGGAGTTAACAAATAATGGCATACTTAAAGAGGAAAAGAAAACAAAGCATTACCAAAAAATCTATTTTCAGAAAATTATGTGAGGAAAAAAGATAAAAAGAAAGCTGAAGTTTCCAAAAAAAAAAAAAATTTATAATCAATTCAGTAAAATATTAAGAAAAAATATTAAAATTATGATAATCAACCTTAGGTTCAAGTATTTAATAACAACTGTTTAAGAAGAATCTTATGTATCAAGTGGTTCCATAAAATTTGCAACGTAGAAATCCTTTGATCCAATTGATCCGGAAATCAAAAAAACGTAAATGGAGATGGATTGGTCATGTTCCACGTAAACCTCAAGAATTTAAAGTTAAACATGTTTTTGATTGGAGCCCTCAGGACAATAGAAAGAGAGGAAGACTTAAAAATACTTGGCACAGGGCGATTGTAAGCATTGAAAACAATAGGAAAGACATGGAGAGAGGCAAAATATCTGGCCACAGATGGAAAGCTATGGTAGAAGCCCTCTGCTCCAATTCGGAGTGAAGAGGAATTTTATATGTGTATGTCATCAGCAATAGGAAGGCAGGAGAACTTAGACACTAGATAATTATACCCGTTTATAAAATGACAATATGAAATGCGTAGCTGGAAAAAAAAAAGCTATGTGAACAGAACACAAAATTAGTAATACAAAACAAATAAAATGTAATCAGTGTAAGGTACAATGTAAAAAATTAAGGAACAATTTATGGTAAAAATTACTGGCACCCTGGGTGCATCATCCGTAAAATTCATTTTAGCGTAAGTCCATTTTTAAAGTAAAATTTTACATTGTAATTTTTACAGAAATATTTATTTATTTATAATGATTCTGTGATTTTAAAATAAATTCTGCAGTAAAAATTATGGTTTCAGATTTTTTGCTTCGTAAAATTTTACAGAAAAAATAGATTTTATGGCAAAAAGTACCAGAATCCAAAGTGTCGGTATTCTTTACCATAATTTGATCCGGGATTCTTTACAGTGTATATAAAACACGTTTCCTATGCATGTTTCTTTTTAATTAATTAGAACAGAAAATAATGGATTAAGTTAAAATAAAAAATAATCCAATGAAATAAAAAATATTAGATCTACAAAGTACAGTTTTTTTTAAAATTGATCTATTTTTATTAACGGGTACTATAAAATTTAATACTGAATATTGAAATTTCTTTCATAGATGCTAAAATATTTGAAATACTTGTTGCGATATAAAATGTAAACCAAACATTAAAAAAAAAAAAAAAAAAAACGTTTTTTGGATTTTAGAAAATTTAAAAGAGTTTATTTTAAAACTATTGTGTATCATCAAAAAATAAAGATTAATGGTTCAAACGAAATTTAGATAAAATTCTTTTAACTGTAATATCTACTGAGGAAATAAAACAGCCTTTAATAAAATTACAGAATTTTATGTGTGTAATGTAAATTATGCGTTCTGGTTAACATTCAAGACTTATCTTGCTGAGGAATTTATTGGAGTATTTGGCAAAATCCTCATAAAAATTTTTATAACTAACCAGAAACTTGCAAATCAGTCATATATCATTTTGATAAAAAAATTTAAAGAAATTTAAGTTCAAAATAAGTTCTAGTTATACGTTAATAAAATATGATTTCTCAGAAAATAAACTATTGCTACCTGTATAGAAATCTAAATGGTAAAGTTTTTCTACATCTTAAAATATATTCATATGTTTGTGATTAAGGATTTTGGTTGAATTTATAACTTTATAATAAAATTTCTTACGATAAAATCACAGAAAGCATTATTAAAGCACCCAGGTATTTTTTTTTCCCTTTATTCTTTTTAACATTTATTACTCGTTTGAAGATAATAAAAAATGAGTTTTGCAAAACATTAAAACATAATTTTACAAAATTAAAAAGTACTTGAAAATGCATGTTTATTTTTATTTTTATTTATTTATTTATTTTTTTTTTTTTGAATCACCAAGTTGGTTAAAGAATATCCAAATAACTTTAACTGGAAAAAAGTAGCATCAATTTCGAACGAAACACAAAATTTAAAAAAACAGATGATTTTAAAATAAAAGGTACAATTTAATGAATGCGTAAACTGTTATGCAAACCTATTAATAGATTCAGGTAAATAATTCATTATTCTTCAACGAGTTATTAATTTACTGAATTATTTCTGTGCTATAGAATAATCAAATATATTTACAGCTATTAAATGCAATTAATTTTTTATTTCGAGTTTGTTAATGGCAGCCTGAATTTTTCATATTATCTCTATGGTTACTAGAAACACAGAAGAATAATCGATGTTATTCTGTGGTGCTATTATTAAGAAAACAAATAAGAAGATATGATAGCATCAATAAAGTTCTATTAATCCTAAATAAATCTTCGATTTCGAGAAGATTATGGATAAAAAAGATCGAATAGAACATCAATTTTGTAAACAAAAGTGTAACATCGAATCAGCTATTTAAGAATCAAATTTTTATCGTGTATAATTTAATCCAACATTAATATCTTTCTTTCATTAAAGTAAAATAATAATAAATATGAATATCCGTTTATGTATACAAGAGATTCAGTTATGAATATTTTACAGACAAATCGTGTATACCACTCAGTAGAAATTGGATTTCCAAAATTTATATTGATTTCCTTCGTTTTTGACGAAACAATTTTCTAGGAATGCAGCAGGGTTTGTCGATTTAAATCATGATTTAAATCAAATGATTTTTTTAAAAAAATCAACTGATTTTTTTATATCTAAATTGATTTAAAGAGTTAAAAAGCAGTGTTTTAAATTATTGATACTTTTATGATTTCTTTTCTTAGTTTTAAAATTTATTTTAAATAAATTGCTGCATTAATTTTAAAATTTATTATTGCTGCATTAATTGATTTTAGTTGACGAAATTACTTTCTTTCTTGGTATGTGTTCCAACACATTTGAAATTACATTTTGAAAAATCTTTTGATTCTTGAGATTGAAAGTACAGATTAAAGTAAACAATTAAGTATTTTTTTTTCTCATAATATGTTTACAGTATCTTTGACATTATCAGATTTTCTATAAAGAAATTTTGCGAAAAACAATTTCAATGAATACATAGATTTTTTTAAAAATTTTATTTAGCTTCATTTATCTATTATGATATAGGATTAAAAATGAATATTTTAATATAAAAATATATAGATTAAATATATATATATATTTTTTGAGAAAGGACTACATTTATAAATACAATCTGTTACATTTATAGTGTCCTTTTAAAAATCAAGAGAAAGAAAATGAAATCACAATTTTAAATTAAAATTATGGTTTGGTAATTGAAACTTTGCTTTAATAGGTAAAGTATTCCTTAAATTCTCTATTTCATCTAGTCTTTAAATTTCAATTTCACAAT